GCAGGAAGCCTCGCAACTGGTGACGACCATGGAAACCATGAACTACACCGAACCCGGGTTACCGCCGCCTCCCCCCGCGGACGCCCCGGTGGCGCACAACATAACGACCCGGCAGGAAGCCTCGCAACTGGTGACGACCATGGAAACCATGAACTACACCGAACCCGGGTTACCGCCGCCTCCCCCCGTGGACGCCCCGGTGGCGCACAACGCAACGACCCGGCATGAAGCCTCGCAGCTGGTGACGACCATGGAAACCATGAACTACACGGAACCCGGGTGCATTCCCTCCGGGAAAAATGGTCCCTTCGACTTTGCACCCACGACCAAGTACAGAGACTCCGACAAGCTGCCGCAGTGGATTAAAGGTATGGCGGCCGGGAAACGCCCTGCCCGTTCTTTGCTATCGCTGGCTTACCGCTTCTTTTCTTCTTTCTCGTCTGTTTCCGTTTGTGCGCACGAACACCCGTGCTTGCGTTGGGGTCGACATCCAACTTCCTCGGTATTGATGGTTTGGTGTTTGCCACAGACTACTTGGATTGGCACAGGGAACAGACATCATCGCTCAATGAATGTAACTACAAGAACTATAAATTTCTTATTCTAAGGTGCTCCTCTGCAGAGAGACAATGCGGAGGAATTGCGGACAGGCTGAAATCAATACCATTCTTTATTGCAGCCGGAGCTCGCTACAAACGAATTTTCCTGATTCGATGGTCCCGGCCCACCAAACTAGAAGAATTCCTTCTTCCAAACGAAATCAATTGGTCGGTACCTGACTGGCTACCTGATAAAGTGGACAATTTCAAAAAACATCCGCAGGCTAAGTGGATTTCGGGTGCCAAAGTGATGTTTAATGGTTTGCAGAAGTACGAAAGAATAATGGTTCTAGAGGGAATGGTACAGGATTTTTATGGAGGAAGCAGGTATTACAAACGATTGGATATCGATATGGACGATGCACAAGCATACGACGAAGAAAAGGAAAATCAGCTAGGCGACTCCTCGGGATGGTATGACTACGAAATCATTCTCCGTGACCTTTTTTTCTCGATTTTCCAACTCGCCCCGCCCATTGCGAAACTCGTCCAACAGCACTTGGATTCGGCAAACCTGGTCCGCGGAGAATTTGCCGCCGCGCAGTACCGAGCATTTCATCATGTCGCGGACAACAAAACGAAAGTAACGGACGCTACGCTACAAAAATCAACTAGGAACGCCCTCAACTGTGCCTCTCAGATTCAACCAGGGGTTCCCATCTTTTTCGCAAGCGATTCGCAAGTTGCCGTAAATACTGCTCGATTCATAAACGACAAGCATCCCGACCGTCACATTGTCACCTTTGACGGCGATCAGGAGGCGTTGCATCTAGACAAGATGAATACTTGGACGTCAGGAAATGTTTCCGACTTTTATTCTGCGTTCGTCGATTTACTCGTAATGGCAGAAGCAAAATGCATCTCAATTGGTCGTGGTGGCTATACCCGCTTTGCAAATAGTTTATCCATTGATCCGACATGTGTCATTCGACATGATAGTGAAAGAAGAAAAACGATCAGTATTTGCGATTGGCACAGTGGCAATACAACGGTCTAGGCGGACGAAGTGGATGAATGAATTACATCATACGTGTACTCTCAGTAGAAACACCTCCATTTTTTCGCCTCTTTAGTAAAAGGGAATGGGTGATTCCCGAAAACATATTTTACGGTATGTTTTCGGGAATCACTTTCAGTGGTACAAGTACTACTGAAGGCACAGCCGGAAGACAGAGGGCGCGCCTGCTCCCGAGACTGGAAATGGTTAAGTCAAAGATTCCAATTAAAAAATATGTAAATTACACAGAAGTTGGTTGTGGTGGGCCCACGACAACCAACTTTTATGTATTTTGGGTCATAATCCGAGCCGGGCGTGCCAAAATTTACGCAGATCTATGTTTTCGGGAATCACGCAATAAATTTTGAATCTTCATTTTTGATATGCCTCTTTTTTGTGTGTACATTTTCTGTATAATCCGACATACCCTGTGAATTCTCTTCGTGACATTAACACGCAGATCTTCGTGAACTTTGTAACCATGTGCTCAGAATTCATATGGTCCTTGTGGTTGTCGAGAAAGTGTGCATAGAGTTTTGCTCGTTACGCGCGTACGTACCCAAGAATGGTGTAATCTTTTACAACCGTCCGGTAGATTACCTCTCGAAGAACAGAGATGTCACGAGTTACGAATAGTAAGAACCCAGTGTAGATTCAGTACCAGATCTACACATGCGAAATCCACAAGGATCTAATCGGAACTTCGGAATTCTCGTGAACTCGCACGATAATCAATTCTTACGGTATTTCAATTTCATAGTGTTGTGTAATGTAACGTTTTGTGTAAAACGTTACGTTCCTAAAAACGTTACAAACCAAAACGTTTGTTAGAACGTTAGAAAAACGTTAGTGTGGAAAAAAAACTAAACGTTCCCGAAAAAATTTCTGAGCGTTAGTAACGCTAGCGTTAGTAAACATTTGAAACGTTCCTAACGCTGAAATCTATTGGAAAGCTGAGACAACAGTTCAAACATCTTTATTCACTATTACTTAATTACCAATTACTATGATATGTATCCAATTTAAGATGCAAATGTATGATTTGACACAAATAAAGTCTTTGTTCCTCCTCTTAGACCTCCTTTACTCATCATAAGCATGCTCACCATCTGCTTCAGCCATCTCAGTCTCTGCCAAATTAACCTGCTTCTCAAACCACTCCCAGTGTTTAGATACAAAGAATGCTTTTCCTGCAGACTCTGGATCCAAGCGGGAGCGCCTTGCTGAGAGGAGTCTGGAAGCATGGCTGAAGACACGCTCAGATGGGGCTGAAGTGGGTTGCACAGGAAGATAGATCTTGGCCAGCCTTGCAAGAATTGGATAACTTCCCTGGTGCTTTTTCCACCACTGGAGTGGATCATTGTTAACTGTCTTACTTCCAATTATCTTGACTAAGGCCAAGCGCTCAGAACGAATGTAAAGCTCAAGTTCACGTTTACACGCATGATCAATATTGACATCTGCTGCACCATTGCTAAATTGATGGCGGTTAACCTCTTCAGCTTTTGCCTCCTCTTCCTCCATCAGCTCAAACATGTTCATGTCAGCATCATCAACACCAGTATCAGCACCAGTATAAGTTATGGTGCTCATACTGATTTTGGTCCCTGGGGTAATATTATTGGATATGCTGTCAGAGTAGCATTTTTTGCAAAATATCAAAGATGAGGTCTGTGGCAAGTTACAGTTGTCTTTATTGGTGCCATGGGAGGTATCTGATGCTAAATTGAATGATCTTACTCCCATTTTTGACAAAGTTATGGTGCTCATACTGATTTTGGTCCCT